TTTCATCATAGGTACACGTCAACTATGACAGACAAAATGAGAAGAAAAAAATCCAGAAAATCACATTGTAGGATTTTTAATGAATTTATTTGCAAATTATGGTGGAAAATAAGTATTTGGTCAATAACAAAAGTTTCTCAATACTTTGTTATATACCCTTTGTTGGCAATGACACAGGTCAAACGTTTTCTGTAAGTCTTCACAAGGTTTTCACACACTGTTGCTGGTATTTTGGCCCATTCCTCCATGCAGATCTCCTCTAGAGCAGTGATGTTTTGGGGCTGTCGCTGGGCAACACGGACTTTCAACTCCCTCCAAAGATTTTCTATGGGGTTGAGATCTGGAGACTGGCTAGGCCACTCCAGGACCTTGAAATGCTTCTTACGAAGCCACTCCTTCGTTGCCCGGGCGGTGTGTTTGGGATCATTGTCATGCTGAAAGACCCAGCCATGTTTCATCTTCAATGCCCTTGCTGATGGAAGGAGGTTTTCACTCAAAATCTCACGATACATGGCCCCATTCATTCTTTCCTTTACACGGATCAGTCGTCCTGGTCCCTTTGCAGAAAAACAGCCCCAAAGCATGATGTTTCCACCCCCATGCTTCACAGTAGGTATGGTGTTCTTTGGATGCAACTCAGCATTCTTTGTCCTCCAAACACGACGAGTTGAGTTTTTACCAAAAGGTTCTATTTTGGTTTCATCTGACCATATGACATTCTCCCAATCCTCTTCTGGATCATCCAAATGCACTCTAGCAAACTTCAGATGGGCCTGGACATGTACTGGCTTAAGCAGGGGGACACGTCTGGCACTGCAGGATTTGAGTCCCTGGCGGCGTAGTGTGTTACTGATGGTAGGCTTTGTTACTTTGGTCCCAGCTCTCTGCAGGTCATTCACTAGGTCCCCCCCGTGTGGTTCTGGGATTTTTGCTCACCGTTCTTGTGATCATTTTGACCCCACGGGGTGAGATCTTGCGTGGAGCCCCAGATCGAGGGAGATTATCAGTGGTCTTGTATGTCTTCCATTTCCTAATAATTGCTCCCACAGTTGACTTCTTCAAACCAAGCTGCTTACCAATTGCAGATTCAGTCTTCCCAGCCTGGTGCAGGTCTACAATTTTGTTTCTGGTGTCCTTTGACAGCTCTTTGGTCTTGGCCATAGTGGAGTTTGGAGTGTGACTGTTTGAGGTTGTGGACAGGTGTCTTTTATACTGATAACAAGTTCAAACAGGTGCCATTAATACAGGTAACGAGTGGAGGACAGAGGAGCCTCTTAAAGAAGAAGTTACAGGTCTGTGAGAGCCAGAAATCTTGCTTGTTTGTAGGTGACCAAATACTTATTTTCCACCATAATTTGCAAATAAATTCATAAAAAATCCTACAATGTGATTTTCTGGATTTTTTTTCTCAATTTGTCTGTCATAGTTGACGTGTACCTATGATGAAAATTACAGGCCTCTCTCATCTTTTTAAGTGGGAGAACTTGCACAATTGGTGGCTGACTAAATACTTTTTTCCCCCACTGTAGATGGTTTTAGACTAGGAATGGACTTCCCAAGGTTAGAATTGTGCTGGTATGATCAACTTCTCTCTGTGACTGAGTATCATATCAAGTCATATTAAAGGTGACAGGCGAAGGTCTCCACATATAAACCAGAACACTTAATAGTAATGCTAATTTAGGCTTCATTAAATAAACCTCAACATTTTTGTCAATCCCATTTTGTCTGTCATAATAGACAAGACATTATAAGGAACATCGGCCTTGCGCAGTAGATCACCTGCTGGGTGTCGACGAACAGTGACGATTTCACACGGAAAATTGTCGGGAAATTAACAGAAAATAAAACGGCCAATGTTCTGCGGTCAGAGGTTATTTTTAGCATTGGTCGGAGCGGTCTGTCTTGTCCTTAAGAAAGCAGTGACACCATAGGAAGTGAGTAGCAGGAAACCAACTTTTATTTTAAAAGACAAACAGACAAATAACACTACTAGCTACAGGAGTTAGAGAGGAAAAGAGAGAGAATCCTACATTCAAATAAAGAGAGAGAAAAAGAGAGAGTTGCATAATTTATTTTTGTATCAATCTTCAATACTAGGGTCCTCAGAGATATCTCTTGTGCAGGACTTTGTTCAAGATCACAAATGTTGTGCAACGTTACCCGAAAACAGTTTTTGTGACCTTATAGAACAACTAGCGCCGGGGTGAAGTTTCCCCTAGGTACAGATCTAGGATCAGCTTCCCCTCCCCCAATCTTAACCTTAATCATTAGTTGGGAAAATGCTCAACTGACCCAGGATCAGCATTTAGGGAAAACTTCACCCCGGCTCCATGAGTGTTAATGCTGGACGTCACCACTGTTGAGAATACAGCTAGCTTGTAAACGTAGCCTACGTATGTAGCCACTTCTCAAAATGGCTGCCATACTGTCCTTATCGGCTGTGTGAATGTAGCCTCGTACGACCATCCTGACCGCTGAGCTCTCATTTGGTCTCACTTCACTTCATCCGTGTAGCGAAACAGATTGTAAGCTTGTGATATCAGGACAGTCGTACGAGGCTAGTGTAAATGTATTCTCAGGATATAAAGAGAGAGAAATAGGATATATTGAAAACATGAAGAAAGTAAAAAGGTTTCAGCTCCCACATAAACATTCAGTCACCAGGAAACACTTTGGATTCATTGTTTTTGTCTGTTTCTTCTTCTTTCTGAATCAGAGCGAAAAATAAATTCCATGTCCGATTTATCAAACTCAGAAAAGGTTGTCTCTGATCATTTGTTCATGTCCAATGACATCGTTAGGATCGGTTGCCTAGTAACGGAAGGCGAACCAACAGAGAAAACAAACCAAATGTACATTTTAGAACTAAAAGTTTTTTCAACAACAAAAACAAAAGAAGAAAAATCATCCATTCAATCCAATGATCAGTTTGACAACAGAAGTTAGTTACAATGTTACAATGAGTGCATCCCAAAATGGCACCCTATTCCCTATCTAGTGCACTACCAAAAGTTATAGTGCACTACCAAACGTAGTACACTATATAGGGAATAGGGTGCAATTTGGGAAGGAGATTGGATATTTGCATGGATCAGTCTGGCAACAGTCCTGCCAATATACAAACACCCACACAAACACAGAATAGTATGAGCATTCACACACACACACTCATCTCTTCAGACAGAAACCACTCAAGTATAGACCTCCAGACAACCCCCACCAGTCAGCCAGATCTACCCCAGAGTAGTATGGTGTGTGGTGGGGAGCAGTTGACCGGTGTGTCCGTCAGTCTCTGGAGGAGTTGGCATCATTTCGTCAAACCGGGGGTGGGGGGGGGGGGGGGGGGGGGGGGGCAGAAAGAACCTCTTGAGGGGGTAGAGGTCCATTGGATGAATCATCCCTGGTGATGTGTGTGTGGAAGCGAGATGGAAGAAAGGGTGTGTGTAGGTGCAGGTGGGGGAGAGAGAGGTGAGGCAGTGGGGGAGAGGGGGAGAGGTGTGTAAGGCAGGTGGGAGAGAGAGGTGAGGCTGTGGGGGAGAGGTGTGTAGGGCAGGTGGGAGAGAGAGGTGAGGCAGTGGGGGAGAGGTGTGTGGTGCAGGTGGGGGAGAGAGAGAGGTGAGGCAGTGGGGGAGAGGTGTGTGGTGCAGGTGGGGGAGAGAGAGAGGTGAGGCTGTGGGGGAGAGGTGTGTGGTGCAGGTGGGGGAGAGAGGTGAGGCTGTGGTGGGGCAGGTGGGAGAGAGGTATGTGTGCACCCCTCCCTGTCAGGAGATGGTGGAGAACTCTTTGAGAGGGCTGTGTGTGGATTGGTGAGGAGGGAGGAGTGTGTGTGTGTGTGTAGTCAGATCGAGGCAGGGGTGTGAGGGCTATACATGTGTCTCTCAGGAGATGGTGGAGAACTCTTTGAGAGGGCTGTGTGTGGATTGGTGAGGAGGGAGGAGTGTGTGTGTGTGTGTAGTCAGATCGAGGCAGGGGTGTGAGGGCTATACATGTGTCTCTCAGGAGATGGTGGAGAACTCTTTGAGAGGGCTGTGTGTGGATTGGTGAGGAGGGAGGAGTGTGTGTGTGTGTGTAGTCAGATCGAGGCAGGGGTGTGAGGGCTATACATGTGTCTCTCAGGAGATGGTGGAGAACTCTTTGAGCAGGAGGTCCTGACTCAGTGTGTTCAGAGACACATTCTTCCTCACATTCAGACTGATGGAGCGCACCTAGAGAGCGAGAGAGAGAAAGAGAGAGAGAGAGAGGGAGAGGGAGAGGGAGGGAGGAGGAGAGAGAGATAGAGCGAGAGAGCGAGAGAGCGAGAGAGAGAGAGAGAGAGAGAGAGATAGATAGAGAGAGAGAAAGAGGGAGAGGGAGGCAGAGAGAGAGAGAGAGAGAGAGAGAGGAGAGGAGGGAGCTTAGAGAGAGAGAGAGGGCTTATTATAGCTCTTTCTCCTTCTGGTGTGCGTTCTGCCTCTCTCTCTCTCTAGAGAGATAAGAAGAGCTAAGATAAGCGATAGATCTTCTATAGTGAGTGAGTAGGGCTGCACGATATGGGCAAAAAATCTAATTGCGTTTTTTTAAACTACATATAGCGATTGTGATTTGATGTGCAATATAGATCAAAACACTTGGGTGAATGGTTGGAATCATAGAAATAGAATGATTATAATTAAGAAAAAAAGTGGAAAGCAGCATCTTTCTTGTTTGGAATAATCTGATGACTGGATTTGACCTAACAGAACAGCATGCACACTTCTAGTGACTAACAGCGAGGAGGAGGAACTGCGCTGCTTGATTGACAGGGGGTGGGGCTTGGTGTGTGGGAAGCAGTCTCAAGAGGTCAGGGAGACGACAAACAGAGCAAACTACAAAAACGGACGTTACACGCGGCTTAGTGGCGTTTCAAAATATTGCGTGCAATAGGGATATTGCTCATATTAATATTGTGATTTGATGTGAATTCAACTAATTGTGCAGGACTACGAATGAGACACTAATTTTACCAATACAAGCATTTATCACGTCCCATGTACTGACTGTGTGTTTACACTGTTCCTTCTCACCAGTTCTTTAAAGAAGGCAGCCTCCTTGGGTTGTTCAGAGTATCTCTCAAACTGGTCCAGACCATCCTGCAGCTTCAGGGTCAACGTGTCATAGTTGGACCGAACCACCTCCAATACCTAGAGGGGGAGGAGGGGACATTTTGAAATAATGTAATTATGTGTGTGAGAGAGAGAGATGAAGAGAGAGAGAAAGTAGGGGGAATACCAGAGAGCCAAATTTAAAAGCAGTAGCGGTGGGATTACGTTTTTGGGGGTTTTCTGTTTTGGTGCATGCTTTGGGGAGTTTTATGAGGGTAGACGGGGAGTGGCCCCTTACCGTTCTCGATGCCCGCCCTTAGGGTCAGAACTGGAGAGATAAATCCCCATAATTTCGAGGGACCCGATGTTTCAAGCCCTTTTGGGCTTTGTGGGGGTTTTCAATATTGACGGGTTTTTTTCATGCCATAACGCTTGAATTTGATTGTTAGAAGGTGTGGTGGGGTTTGGGAAGTGCTCCGATTGGGGAAAAAGGGTGGCTTGGTATGCTGGCGGCGGGATGGGGGCGCCTTTGGCGGCCGTTTTCCCATGCATCCGGGCTCCCGGCTTTCGGCTCCCTGGGCCGCGCCGGGGGGCCCCTGGGGGGGCCCCTCCCCCCCCGTTTTCCTCGCCCCCCCCGGGTTGGGGCCCCTTTCCCCCCCTTGGGGGGCCCCCCGCGCCCTTTTTTCGCCGGGCTTTTTCCCCTTCCCTCCCTTTTCCCCCCCCGTTTGGCCCCCCCCCCCTTTTGGGGGGGATGAGGATGGGGAAGTAACCAATTTCCTTTTCATCTTTAGGGTCCCTGTTTTTTCCCATTTCTTTACCAATTTCAACCTCCTTTAGGTTTTTAAGGGTAGACCCCCACCTTTTAGGAGCCCTTATGGGGAAAAGGGGATTTGAGGAAAAATTTTGGGAGAAAATAGGGGAAAGATTTGAGAGTGTAGAAAGAAAATGAGAAAAAGGGAAAAATTTGTATGCGCTGAAGACCCGAGAGGCTGGAAAAATTCAGGGGTATGGGCCCGAAATTTGAGGGCAATTAGGGGCCGGGGGAGAGGAAATGGTTTGGCTAGAAAGAGCTTACCGTACCTTGGGGGGCCCGGGACCCGGGGCTTTTTTGGGGAAAACCTAAATTTTGGGCCCTAGGGGGTTGATCGGCCAGGGGGTCGTTTGGGGTTGGGCGCGGGGGCCCCTTTGTTGGCCTCCCTTGTGCGCCGGGGGCTGGCGCGGGGGGGGCCTTGTGGGGCCGCGTGTGATGGGGTTTGGTGGGGGGGGCCGCGGGGTTTTCCCGGCGGGTTCCCCGGGCCCCCTTTTTGTGCGGGGGCCGGGGGGTTCCCGCTAGGCCTGCCCTTTTTCCCCTTTACCCAGGCCCGGAAGGTTTCCCCGGGTCTTTGGGAGAGGGGGGGGGGGGAAAAATTTAAAAAAAGAAAGGAAAAATTTTAATCTAACCCAGGAGACGCCCACAAAACTTTTTCCAAACAAAATTTCCAAAAAAACCCCGGAAAAATGTTTTTCCTTCTTTCCAATGAAATTTAACCCAGGGAGCTTTGGTTTTTTCTTTGCCCTTGTTTCCACCAGGGAAATTTTTATCTCTTCTCTTTCCCTCTTTTTCCTCTCTATTTTTTCAACCCCTTTCCCCTATTTTCATACCCTTCCCTCCCCTTCTCTTCTTCTCCTAAACGAGAACACTGAGATTAATTTGGAGTGTTGGTTTGTCATCCTCTTATGGAGAAGGGAGGGAGATAAGAAGCATGTGTTTATCAAAATTTACCAGTGGGGGGAAAGGGTAGATAGATAGATAGATAGATTTAGATAGATTAGAATAGATTCGATGATTAATAGATATATAGAAAAGATAGATGATAGATCGATAGATAGATAGATAGATGATAGATCGATGATAGATAGAAGATCGATCGCAGAGAGAAGTGGCGGGTTGGATGGGATATAGAGAGCAGAGAAAGGAAGGGGAAGGGAGAGCGGCCGCCGTGCGCTCCCCGCGGAGTGCCTCGCGCGCCCCCAGCGCAGCCCGAGGATTGAGCAGGAAAAGAAAGAGGAGATAAGAGGAGAGAGACAGATAAAAAAAGATCATAGGGGATAGAAAAATTTTTTCTTCATGGCAATCCATTCTCCATATCGGGGCTCCAAAGGGATTGTGACAGTGACACATTTTTTGTTGTTTTGGCTCTGTATTCCAGCACTTTGGATTTAAGTGCAGACTGTCAGCTTTAATTTGAGGGTATTTTCATCCATATCGGGTGAACCGTTTAGAAATTACAGCACTTTTTGTACATAGTCCCACCATTTTAGGAGACCAAAAGTACACTTTTAAGTACCAAAAGTGTCTGTGTGTGTGTGTCTGTGTGTGTGTGTGTGTGTGTGTGTGTGTCCACCCGATATGGATGAAAATACCCCCATTAAAGCTGACAGTCTGTGTGTGAGTGTGTTTGTGTCTGTGTGTTTGTGTGTGTGTCTGTCTGTCTGTGTCTGTCTGTCTGTCTGTGTTTGTTTGTGAGTGTGTGTGTGTGTGTGTGTGTGTCAGCTGTGAGGTTACCATCTGTAGGCTGTCCCTACTGCAGTACCACCTGGCTCAATCAGACAGGCTAGCAAAGGCTAATGAACACACCTGTACACTCCTGTGCCAACAAACCGTGTGTGTGTGTGTGTGTGTGTGTGTGTGTGTGTGTGTGTGTGTGTGTGTGTGTGGTGTGTGCGTGTATACACGGCCCATTTCCCTCAGTCAGAAGGCTGTAAAGGGTTCAGTACCACTACAGCCAGCAGCACCACACCTATACAACTTCACCTGGCAGTCTGGAGAGAAAACTTTACACACACTTCTAATGAGGAAGGAAACTACGGCTTGAGTCCCAAATGGCTCCCTATTTCGTATGTAGTGCACTACTTTTACCGTTTGGGACTCAGCCAACCTACAACTTTACATTACAGTCACTTCTAATGGGGAAATTCAAATCTCATCTAAAGGTCAAACTGTGCATTGACGTCATTTCATTTAAACGTATTCTCTTCTTGTTGGGAATAAATCTGGGAGATATCAGCTGAGAGGTAATTGGGGTGTGTAATGCCAGAATATTTCTCTCTCTATCTCTGTGTAATGACAGAATCCATCACTGTGCTTATCAGCTGGTAAATAAAGCATATATACTCCAAAACCTTTTCCCTTTCTTTCCTCTCAGCCCTTTTCTGTCCATTTGTTTTTCTCTCCTCTCATTAAATGCTGCTTGATGGAGTGTGGTTAAAAGCCCATCTCCCGGTGCAATGCGAACACTGTTTCAAGGGATGTGTTCCATTGTGATGTCATAAAGAGCCTCAGTCTGAATTTAAACACTGTTGGGCCATTATGATATCACAAGCAGGCATGTTGTGACCTCATTTATTTATTTATCCCTTATTTCACAAGGTAAGTAGATGTTATATTATATGTCACAGCACACTCATAATAGAGTGTGCTGTGACATCATAAGGGGTTGTGGTGACATCATAAGGGGTTGTGGTGACATCATAAGAGGCATGTTTACCTGGTCCTCAGACAGCTGGGAGATGTGGTTCACTGCAGCGTACGACTCAATCTTGGGGTTGAAATGGTTGATAATGGCCCTGAAACACACACACACACAAACAATTAGTTGAAGCATTGGTCAGAGAGAGGGTAGTAATACGTAAATCACAGAATTTTATAGAGACGCTCCATTGCTGTGATGTAACTATGTTTAATCTTTCAATATATTTATAAAATGAAGAAATATAAAACTGGATGGGACCAACACTGCAGCATATATTAGGTATTCTGAACTAGGGAAGGGGGAGAGAGATGGAGAGAGAGAGATGAGAGAGAGAGAGGGAGAGGAGAGAGAGAGGAGAGAAAGGAGAGAGAGAGATAGAGAGGTGCCCAAACTAATGAACACTGACAGTCACAGCTCTCACTCCTTTGAGCCCTCATGCATTTACTATGTCTAGAACTACCCTTGTATACGAAGGAAGATCTCACACACTTACACACACACACACACACACACACACACACACACAAGACCCCTTCCCATCTTATTGGTTATTTAGGACAATAAAATATTCAGTTCTTATATGCCTAACAATGGCTGCTCTCCTAATCAATGTCAATTATTACACTGGCCTAATGACATACGGTGTTAACAACATGGGCTGGAATCAGTGGTGGAGGGATTTCTAATGATAGTCTTATTGATAGCCACCTATTGTCCTACAGTAGTACGGCTGCTACTCTATAAGGTCCCATGAAGACCCTAGAATAGAATCTCTCACCCTCCACCTCCTTATAGACCAGGGAAACTAGAGAGATGAACCTTCCCTATGGACCAGGGAGACCAGGGGAAGGAGGAGGGGGAAGGGGTAGAGGTAGAGAGAGAGGGAGACCGGGAGACCAGGGGAAGAGAGAGAGGGAGACCAGAGGAAAAGAGAGGGAGACCAGGGGAAGGAGGGAGACTAGGGAAGGAGGGGGGTAGAGGGAAGAGAGCAAGGGGTTGACCAGGGGAGGGAGAGGGAGATAGGGAAGGAGGTAGGTATAGAGGAAGAGAGAGAGAAGGGAGACCAGAGGAAGGAGAAGAGATAAACAGGAGAAGGGACAAAGATGATAAGAGACACTGAGAGAAAAATAAGAATGAGAGAGAGAAGGAACAAGGGGAAGGGGAAATGGGTAAGGATGGAGAGAGAGTAGAGAGATAGTAGAGAGTAGAGAGATTAAACAGAGTAGAAAAAGTAGAGAGAGGGAATTAGAGGATTCGAGAGAGTAGGGTAGAGATAGGAGATTAGAGAAGAGAGAGGAGGAGATAGGGATGGTAGAGAGATGGAGAGAGTAGAGAGAGAGAGAGTAGAGAGAGAGAGAGAGTGGAGAGAGAGAGGTAGAGAGAAATAGGGAGAGAGAGATAGAGAGAGTATAGAGAGAGATTAGGAGAGAGAAGAGAATAGAGAGAGGAGAGAGAGTGGAGAGAGAAGAGAGATTAGAGACGGTAATGAGGTAGAGAAGAGAGAGTATAAAAGTAGAGATAGAGAGGTAGCGAGTAGAGAGAGAGAGTGGTAGAGTAGAGAGGAGAGTAAAAGTAGGATTAAGAGAGTAGAGTAAAGAGGAGAGTGAGGAGTAGAGAGAATAGCGATAGAGAGAGTAGTAGAAGAGAGAGAGTAGGTATTAGAGAGAGAGGAGAGATAGAAGATTAGAGAGAGCGAGGAAGTAGAGAGAGTAGGAGGAGTAGAGAGTAATAGAGAGAAAGAAGAGGAGAGTAGAGATTAGAGAGAGGAGAGAGAGTAAAGAGGAAGGAGAGAGTAGAGAGGAAGAGTAAGTTAGAAGAGAGTAGAGAAAGAGAGAGTAGAGAGAGAAGAGAGAGGAGACGGGTAGGAGAGAGTAGAGAGTAGAGAGAGTTAAAAGAGAGTAGATATTAGAGGAGTGAGAGAGTATAGATAGAGAGAATAGAGAGTAGGAGTAGAAGGAGAGGAGATGAGTAAGAGGAGATAGAGAGTTTAGAGAGAGAGGAAGAGAGGATAGAGAGAGTAGAGAGTAGAGCGAGAGAGAGGATAGAGGAGGTAGCGAGGAGTAGAGTTAGAGAGGAGTAGAGAGGAGAGAGAGTAGAGAGAGTAGAGGTAGAGAGAGTAGTGAAGTAGAAGGAGAGTAGAGAAGTATAGAGAGCAGATTAGAGAGAGAGAGTAGAGAGAGTAGTATAGAGAGTAAGTAAGAAAGGGTTAGAGAGAGTATAGATTAGAGATAGAGAAGAGTAGAGTAGAGAGAGGTAGAGAGTAGAGTAATACAGTAGAGAGTAGGGGAGTAGAGGAGAGAGGAGAGAGTGGGTAGAGGAGAGAGAGTAGAGAGATAGATAGTAAAAGAGAGTTAGAGAGGAGAGTTAGAGATAGAGAGTAGAGAGAGTAGCGTAGAGATTAGAGAGAGTAGAGAGAGTAGGTAGGAGTGAGGAGAGAGAGTGAGAGAGAGAGAGAGAGGAGTAGAGAGAGTATGATAGAGGATCAGTAGAGAGCAGAGAGTAGAGAGGAGTAGAGATTGAGAGTAGATAGAGAGAGTAGAGTAGAGAGATAGAGTGAGTAGAGGAGTAGAGAGTAGAGCGAGAGAGTAGAGAAGTAGAGGTAGGATAGAGGGGTAGAGATAGAGGGAGTAGAGAGAGTAGAGATTAGAGAGAGTAGAGAGTAGAGAGGATTAGAGAGAGTGGGAGAGTAGAGAGTAGAGAATAGCAAGTAGAGAGAGTAGAGAGAGTAGAGAGGAGAGATTAGAGAGTAGAGGAGATTAGAGAGTAGAGATAGATTAGAGAGTAGAAGTGTAGATAGTAGAGAGATTAGAGAGAGTAGAGAGAGTTGAGAGAGTAGAGTAGAGAGAGGAGATTAGAGAGAGAGAGAGAGAGAGTAGAGAAAATAGAGATTAGAGAGAGTAGAGAGAGTAGAGATTAGAGAGAGGAGAGAGAGAATAGAGAAGAGAGAGAGAGTGAGAGAGATAGAGAGAGTTAGAGAGAGATTAGAGAGAGGAGAGAGAGTAGAGAGTAGAGATGAGAGAGATAGAGAAGTAGAGAGTAGAGATTGAGAGAGTAAGATTAGGAGAGTAGAAAGAAGTAGAGATTAGAGAAAAGTAGAGAGTCAGGGGATTAGAGAGAGTAGAGATTAGAGAGAGTAGAGAGAGTAGAGATTAGAGAGGAGAGAGAGTATAGAGAGTAGAGATTAGAGAGAGTAGCGAGAGTAGAGAGTAGAGCGTAGAGTATAGAGTAGAGAGAGTAGAGTAGAGAGAGTAGAGATTAGAGAAATTAGAGTAGAGAGTATAGAGAGTAGAGAATAGAGAGAGTTGAGAGATTAGAGATTAGAGTAGAGATTAGAGAGAGTAGAGTAGAGAGTAGAGATTAGCGAGAGTAGAGAGAGTAGAGATTAGAGATAGAGAAAAGAGTAGAGAGAGTAGAGTAGAGATAATATAGATTAGAGAGAGTAGAGATTAGAGAGAGTAGAGAGAGTATAGAAAATAGAGATTAGAGAGAGTAGAGATTAGAGAGATTAGAGAGAGTAGAGTAGAGATTAGAGAGAGGAGAGAGAGTAGAGAAGTAGAGAGAGTAGAGAGTACGGAAGGTAGAGATTAGATAGAGTAGAGAGTAGAGATTAGAGAGATTAGAGAGAGTAAGAGAAGTAGAGAGCTAATAGAGAGGTGGGAAAAAGTAGAGAGAGTAGAGATTAGAGAGAGTAGAGAGATCCCAAGTGGCAACCATTATTCCCTCTCTTCTTTGCCTTCTTCTCGTCCTTCACTGGATCAATAATGTTACTATTGAGAGGACTCTGATCCATCTCAACTCTCTCTGAATCTCTCTCTTACTCTTTTAACAAGCTCTGTCCATCTGACTTTCATCTCCATCCCTCCCTCTCATTACCCAATCTTCACCCCTTTCTCTCTCTCCGTGTGCAAGTGCTCTCTACAACTAGTGTGTGTGTGTGTGTGTGTGTGTGTGTGTGTGTGTGTGTGTGTCCTTACCTGACATTGACCAGTGAGTGTGTGACTTTACTGGCAGGCTCCTTCCACTGGCCAGTGTTGGTGGACACTCTCAGAACTGTGAGGAAGAGAAGTACACACACACACATTCAGTAATCTGGATATGATTATAAACACACACACATTCAGTAATCTGGATACGCTTATAAAGAAACACACATTCAGTAATCTGGATACATTTATAAACACACACACAGTCATTAAGACATTTTACATGTTTTACATTTTAGTCATTTAGCAGACGCTCTTATCCAGAGCCACTTACAGTTAGTGAGTACATACATTTTCATAGACACAGTGAGAGAGAGAGAGACTGACCCATGCAGTAGAGGTTGAAGACATACAGAGAGAGAGAGAGACTGACCCATGCAGTAGAGGTTGAAAACATACAGAGAGAGAGAGCCCCTGCCCGTAGAGGGTTGAAGCAACAGAGAGAGAGAGACTGACCAATGCAGTAGAGGTTGAAGATAGACAGAGAGAGACTGACCCATGCAGTAGAGGTTGAAGACAGACAGACAGAGACTTACCCATGCAGTAGAGGTTGAAGACAGACAGAGAGAGACTGACCCATGCAGTAGAGGTTGAAGCATACAGAGAGAGACTGACCCATGCAGTAGAGGTTGAAGACAGAAAGAGAGAGCCCTGACCCATGCAGTAGGGGGTTGAGAAAGCCCAGAGAGAACTGACCCAGGCAGTAAAAGGTTGAAGACAGACAGAAAGAGACTGACCCATGCAGTAGAGTTGAAGATAGACGAGGAGATGACCATGCAGAGGAGAAACAGAGAGACTGACCCATGCAGTAGAGGTTGAAGATAGACAGAGAGAGACTGACCCATGCAGTAGAGGTTGAAGATAGACAGAGAGAGACTGACCCATGCAGTAGAGGTTGAAGACAGACAGAGAGAGACTGACCCATGCAGTAGAGGTTGAAGATAGACAGAGAGAGACTGACCCATGCAGTAGAGGTTGAAGACAACAGAAGAGAGATGACCATGCGGGTAGGGGTTGAAGAAAGACAGAGAGAGACTGACCATGCAGTAGATGTTGAAGATAGACAGAGAGAGACTGACCCATGCAGTAGAGGTTGAAGATAGACAAAAGAGAGACGACCCATGCTTAAGGTTGAAGAAGACAAGGGAGCTGACCCAGAGAGGTAAAGATGACGAGGGGACTGACCCATGCAGTAGAGGTTGAAGACAGACAGAGAGAGACTGACCCATGCAGTAGAGGTTGAAGACAGACAGAGAAAGACTGACCCATGCAGTAGAGGTTGAAGATAGACAGAGAAAGACTGACCCATGCAGTAGAGGTTGTCAAAGATCTGGTGCATCCTGACGATCTCATAGTAAAGTTCATCATAACTGTTGGAGGTGGGCAGGAACGTATCTCCATATGTTATAAACATGTTGAACAGATTCACCACCTGGGGGTGAGAGAGAGAGAGAGAAAGGAAATGCATAAGCACTTTGAGTAGTGCTGAGCGATTAACCAGCATTTTTTTTTTTTTTTACAACTAATTGACTGACGCCGGTTCAATTACTTGAATTCCATTTAGTTCGCTTTTTTGGAGAGCCAAACACGCCGTTTCTCTAGAGAGAAATCAAATCAGTCATGAGAGAAATCATCTCAAGAACTATGTGGGATGCTGGGCTGAAGGGCGTTGTAGTTTTCAGTAAGCAAATATTCAACCTAGTTCAGAGCAAAAACGTGGTAATTAACTACAATGACCATAATCCATTGCGCCAGACCGCATGAGAGAGGAATGTACACAACGACTAGAGAGAGGTATAGAGACAGTTCATTGAAGCATGCCTTAGTAAAATGATTCAGTCAGACAGCTCTGCAGCATCCTTACAGTAGGCAGGCTAACCTAGCTAATTAGGAAGACTAAAGTACGGTGAGCACTGAGATAACTGGCTGGCTGGCTGACTGCTACTGCCTGAGCAGAGACGATCGAATAAAAAACTAGGTAGTATACACAACTAAAAATATGTTATTATTTCATAGCCATTTCCTATTTTTCTATTGATGTCTACCCAGTGTGGACCTGACAGAGACAATGGAATGTTTTGGCAATTGAATGTTCACTATTTTTGGCATTTCCATTAAAAAGTTCTAAAATCATTTTAATGTCATTATTTCATGACATCAAAATCGTAAACCGTGATTATTTTGTAATAATCTAAACGAAACCGAACCGACCTCAAAAAGCACTCATCGCTCAGCACTAACTTTGAGACACCACTCTCTCTATAATTTTCTCTAAACACATTCAAATACTGTATAAAACACAAACACACACAGAGAGAGAGAGAGAGAGAGACACGCACACACACATGGACACAGATACGGACACAAGATGAGCAAGCAGAAGGGTGTGTGTGTAAATCTGTGTATGTGTTCTCAGCAGCAGGACCAGGTGAAAGATGTTGTGTTAGGGACCAGGGGCCAACAGAACGGTCTAGTGTTAGAGGCTAGGGGCCAACAGAACGTCTAGTGTTAGAGGCTAGGGGCCAACAGAACGGTCTAGTGTAGAGGCTAGGGGCCAACCCGAACGGTCTAGTGTTGAGGCTAGGGGCCAACAGAAGTCCCAGTGTTAGAGGCTAGGGGCCAACAAAAGGTCTAGTGTTAGAGGCTAGGGGCCAGAGTAGCTAGGTTTTTAGGGGGCTAGGGGCCAACCCGAACGGAGGAGAAGGTGGGGCCAACAGAACGGGCTAGTGTTAGAGGCTAGGGGCCCAGAAGGCTAGGGTTTGAGGCTAGGGGGGGTTTGGAATAGGGTAGGATAAAATTTGTGTTTGGGGGGGTTCCCCCAGACAAGAGCAGTTGGGTTTGAGGCTAGGGGCCAACAGAACGGTCTAGTGTTTGAGGCTAGGGGCCAAAAAGAAGGTCAGTGTGGCTAGGCCAACAACGGTCTAGTGTTAGAGGCTAGGGGCCAACAGAACAGTCTAGTGTTAGAGGCTAGGGGCCAGGAAGAACGCTAGGTTGTTAGGGCTAGAGGGCCAACAGAAAGTCTGAGTGTTAGAGGCTAGGGGCCAACAGAACAGTCTAGTGTTAGAGGCTAGGGGCCAACAGAACAGTCTAGTGTTAGAGGGACTAGGGGCCAACAGAACTGGTCTAGTGTAGAGGCTAGGGGCCAACAGAACAGTCTAGTGTTAGAGGCTAGGGGCCAACAGAACGGTCTAGTGTTAGAGGCTAGGGGCCAACAGAACGGTCTAGTGTTAGAGGCTAGGGGCCAACAGAACGGTCTAGTGTTAGAGGCTAGGGGCCAACAGAACGGTCTAGTGTTAGAGGCTAGGGGCCAACAGAACAGTCTAGTGTTAGAGGCTAGGGGCCAACAGAACGGTCTAGTGTTAGAGGGACTAGGGGAGGAAAGCTTTTCAGCCTGAGTGCCACAACGGCATTTTGAAATTCAACAGAGGGCCGCACAGATTTTTTTTTGTGACCAACTTGTTCGTCAAAATCTATTTGCAGGCCAGAAAAAGGGCAGTTGTTTTAAAACATTTAGGTCCACTATCATTTCTACCTAGTTTCAGACGTTCAAGAGTGGCCTGGAGTGGCCTGGAGTCTTTTTATATACACATTACTCCAACCACCCACGGGCCTGGTCTAGGGGTTAAGGTCTAGGGGTTAGGGTCTAGGAGTTAGGGGTTAGGGGCTAGGGGCTAGGGGTTAGGGTCTAGGGGTTAGGGGTTAGGGGCTAGGGGTTAGGGTCTAGGGGTTAGGGGCTAGGGTCTAGGGGTTAGGGTCTAGGGGTTAGGGGCTAGGGGTTAGGGGCTAGGGGTTAGGGTCTAGGGGTTAGGGTCTAGGGGTTAGGGGCTAGGGGCTAGGGGTTAGGGTCTAGGGGTTAGGGTCTAGGGGTTAGGGGCTAGGGGTTCGGGGCTAGGGGTTAGGGGCTAGGGGTTAGGGGCTAGGGGTTAGGGGCTAGGGATAGATATTAATGTATGTGTGTGTGTTCTCACCAGCAGAGCCAGGTGAAAGATGTTGTGCTTGGCCAACAGAACGGTCTCATTGGACAGCAGAAATTTCAACAGGTTGATCAGAGCTGGTGGAAAAAGAGAGAGCAAAGAAATCCCACATGATTATTCTAATACACTTCAATACAACACAAACATAGCTTGTCTCTGAATGGAAGGACTGAAACAGATAGGAGTACATGGCAACTGTTCAGACCCTCTGCTGAACTCATTAGTATGTGAGACAATTGAAAGACAGAGGGGGTGGAACTGAAGACAGAATAACATCAACAACGTCAGTGTGCTGAGTGTCTAAGCAGAACAGCTGCTGATGGTACAGGAAGCTGCAGAGCAGAGCTGAGGGGATGAATACATTCATAAAGCAGTGCTATTATTAAGGCATATTTCATGGAGACATTCACACACACGCCAGCTGCAGGCATAATTAATGGCGCGGGAGAGACATTCACACAGAGACAGAGGAAGATTAGAGACGGACAGTGTTAGGGGACACAAACACGTGCATGCTCAAAACACACACTCAGACGAAACGACACGGTCATGCTCACCACACACACACACACACACACACACACACACACACACACACACACACACACACACACACACACACACACACACACACACACACACACACACACACACACACACACACACACACACACACACACACACACACACCACACCCACACCCACACCCACACCCACACCCACACCCACACACACACACACACACACACACCACACACACACACACACACACAGCTGCAGGGCCCAAACTGTTTCTTTTCATGTTTCATACACTGCTTTGATCACAGCAACAGAGACAATGTGAGATCAAAGATTTACATTATTCATGTATTGTTCTCTGCTCATCACTGACAATCAATTGCTATGTGAGTGTGTGTGTTCTAAGTGTGTGTGTGTTCTGAATGTGTTCATGTGTGTGTGATTTAAGTGTGTGTGTGTGAGTGCGCACGCGTGTGTGTCAGGGTTTCCGTTAGCCGGTAATAGCCGGCTTTTGGCCGATAAAAAAATAGAACAACCGATAAATAAAATTGCCGCCGGCCAATTGTCCGGGACAAGAAGAAAAAATCCCATTGTGAAATCATGTTTTTTAGCCTCTTGATTGGTGGAAATACCAGTCGATCGAAATACATTTGACCGGTCATTCTTATTGGTCTAAAGATTAATTTGCATAATTTAGTGGAATTAAATTGGCACGTGTGTACAGTATATTCGTAATACATTTTATTTATCACAAGAGTACAGCATACAGACACAGATCCTTTGAGCTGAAAACCTGTCAGACAGCGTGAGAGCTGCTACTACAGCATCTCAAACAGAAAACATCGGCAACGGAAGGCCGGCTTCATCAGCGCGTCACACACCACTATGCAATGAGCTGGAGGCAGTATGCCTTTTGAAAACATATACTTAACTGTTTGAAACCGGAACGTTTCACTACATATTATGAGGCGTGTCTTACCTTGCTTCAAAGTAGCCTAGCTGAAATCAGGCCATATCCGTGGAGGCAATTATTTTATATCAACTTTCTTTCATTGTCCAGTAGCCAAAGGCACAATCCCAGTCATATTAGCAACCCATGCTAGTTGCTGCATATTAGATCTCCCCTCTTTCTAAATGGATATTTTCATCTCTGTCACATGAAACCGCTCTCATGTGCGGTGCGCTTTGACAACAGTGTTTTCCCGCTAATTGTATTAAGGAACAAACATTCACACACAGCCTAATGCCTTGTGCACAGTGCTCCACTTATAAATGTGAAGAAATAACAGTTTATCAACATTTTAAGCTAAACGTTCTGATCTGTTGCATGAGACTCATTTCTTTTTAAAACATGTATTATGTAGCCTAGTCCTACTGGTTGTGAATTTGGGATCTATCTTCCCACAACTGTCCCAGAGTCAGTTTGGAATAGGCTATTTGTTTCTCGACAAGCTGGCCAATGGAATAAGTTCACTTTTCTACTCTGGGGGATAGTAGATTGACATAGGCTAGTTATTTTGCTGTTTGTTACTTGTCTTGTTGGCTGAGTAAATGTGGACAGTTATTCTAACATCTTCAAAGTGCACATCAGAATTCGGTAAGAAGGACACGTCATTGCATCCTCGACTTGCATGTTCGGGTTGATATGAATTACCGTATTCTAAATATGATTTCTGTCATTCTGAGCACCGTGGATGGATGCCCTAATCAGGTTACACACCCAATGCATATGGGTCCAGTTAAATGTCTCAAATGTCCGGTAAATTCCGGTAAATTCAGGTCCCCTGTAGCTCAGTTGGTAGAGCATGGCGCTTGCAACACCAGGGTTGTGGGTTCGTTTCCCACGGGGGGCCAGTATGAAAAATGTATGCACTCACTAACTGTAAGCCGCTCTGGATAAGAGCGTCTGCTAAATGACTAAAATGTAAATGTAAATTAAAATGCTGCCGGTCAAATGTCCGGCGCCACATTTTCCTGAAGGAAACCCTGGTGTGTGTGTTCCTACCTGACCACAGCTGTGTGTGAGTGTGTGTGTTCTGAGTGTGTGTTTTAAGTGTGTGTTGTTCCTACCTGACCACAGTTCTCTCCAGGTATAATGTAACCTGATTCTGCATTTCTTCTGGTAGCAGATGAGCTTGTGGATCACCTGTACGCAACGCCTGGTGGACACACACACACACACACACACATAAACACACACCACACACACATAAACACACACCACATACACACCACACATACACAACACCACACATACACACAAAGGTATCATCATTAAAGACATCTTCAGTGTATGCATCTGGGTAGAGCAGTAACATATTTGGGTCATTGTAACATGGGAGACATAGGCTAGCCGTCTTACATGTAGAGATCCATAGGAAAGTCCTTCATCATATGAGTTACGAGAAAGACATCAGTCGGGGAGGGAAGAAGAAGACCAGAGATCGAGAGAGCGAGAGCAGAGACGGAGAAGGAGAGGGATAAGAGGAGAAGAGAGAGAGGAGAAGAGGGGAGCATGAGAGAGAGACGAGAGAAAGAGAGAGAGAGAGAGAGAAGAGAGAGAGACAGAGAGAGAAGAGAGAGAGGAGACACAAGAGAGAGAGAGAAGAGATAGAGAGAAGAGAAAAGACAGAGAGAGATAGGAGAGAGAGATAGACAAAAAAGATAAAGAGAAAGAAAGACAGAAGAAAAAGAAGAAGAAATATATAAGAGAGAGAAGAGAAGATAGAGAGATACAGATAATAGAGATGAGAGAAACAGATACAGGGGATAGCGAGAGAGAGAGTTGACAGAGAACAGAGATAAGAGAGACAGACAAGAGGAGACGAGAGAGACAAGAGAGAGAATAGATAGAGAATACAGAGACAAGCAGATAGAGAAGAGATACAGAGATAGAGAGAGAGATAGAGAGAGATAGAGAGAGAGAGAGAAGAAGAAGAGAGAGAGACTCTTTTTTACCGGTCCATTAAAATGTATATGAATGTTTTGATCTACAGCTACATTAATGACTATAGAATATACCATGTTGAATGGTTCCACGTACCTAGAACAGCACACACCAGAGGTCTGGACGGGACGTTCTTCTCTGCTGCCTTTTTCCTGTGTCTCATGGGCTGTATACACAGAACAGAGGTGAAACACACACTAAACACACACACCACACCACACAGAAAAACCTAACACAGAAATACACCACCACCAAAACACCTCTTACCATTCTATGTAGATTGACTCTGAAGTTCATGTTGCAGAGCAGATGGAGAAAAGAACAGAAGATATGGTTATACGAATGAGACAGAGAGAGAGAGAAGAGAGAGAGAGAGAATGATAAGAGAGAAGTGACAGAGAGAGAGAATCAAAGAGAGAGATATGACACGCAGAGTGAGAAACTATAGTATATACAGTGAGATGATGAGACAGAGTCTGGCACTGTTGAGTCTGTGTTCATCTGGAGAGAGAGAGAGAGAGAGAGAGAGAGAGAAGAGAGAGGAGAGAGAGAGAGAGAGAGAGAGAAAGGAGAAGACAGAGAGAGAGAGAGAGAGAGAGACAGAGACAGAGTGAGCGAGAGAGCGAGAGCGACAGAGACAGAGAGAGAGAGAGACAGACAGAGGGAGAGAGAGACAGAGACATAGAGAGAGAGAGAGAGACACCGATTACGAGAGGAGAGAGAGCGAGAGATAAGAGATAGAGAGGAGATAGGAGAGAGATTAAGACGATAGTAGATGAGAGAGATAGAGAGCATAGAAGAGAGAGACAATAGAGATAGCGAGACAGAAGATAGCGGCGAGACGACAGAGACAAAGAAGATAGACAGACGGGAGAGGAGACAGACATACAGAGAGAGAGACAGAGAGACAGATGAAGATAGAGAAATAGAGTAGAGAGAGACTGAGATAGAGAGAGATAGACTAAATAGCGAGAGGACTCTAGAGAAAACTTTCTTTATTGAGGATCTGATGAGAGACTTAGAGATAACCATTGTAGGGAGAGATATATTGAACAGAGCTCAATGAAAAAGTAGCGAAGGCAGATGGGAGAAGGAGTGACACTTGACAGCTTATTTTGAATGAGGACTGAATGAGGACTGGAAATGGGGAAGAGAGAGAAACGGGGAAGTGGTGAACAAGAACAAAAGAGGAATGAAGACGCCATGACAGAGAGTATAGAGACAGAGTGAATAAAGAGATAGAGAGGGTCCTGCATGACTGTGGATGAGTATTTGAAGAAGTGATAGAGGGTATAGATAGATATAGATCACGTGTCCAACTCATTCCACGGAGGGCCGAGTGTCTGCGGGTTTTCACTCCTCCCTTGGACCTGATTGATGACTTAAGGTCAGTAATTAGTAAGGAACTCCCCTCACCTGGTTGTCTAGGTCTAAAAACCCAAAAAACAGCAGACACTAGGCCCTCCATGGAATGAGTTTGACACCCCTGATATAGATAGAGAGTGGTAGAGAGATAGAGATCGTCTTACATGACGACAGAGAGATACAAAGTGATAGAGAAAAACAGAGGTAGTGTGAAAGAGAGATATAAAAAGAGATGGCCGTGTATTTAAACCTTTGGTGTCCTGCATGACGATGGAGGAGTACTTGAGGAAGGTGATGAGCAGGTTGCTGCTCTGGAGGTTAGGATCCAGGGGGAGTTCTGAAGAGTTCATCACTGGAAAACAGGACACACAACGTTAGTTCAACATAATACTAATGTTATGTTGAAATGTTGAAAGATCAATTTAAAAGGTCCAACGCAGCCATTTTTGGGTAACAGTTAAGTACCTTACTGTGACTGTTTTCAAATAAAACGGTCAAAAAGAAACAAAAATAGCTTCTTGGCATCAAGCAAGAATTTAGCTAGGACTTCTCTGGAAGTGGTCTGAGTTGAGAGGGGAAAACTGAAAATGTGCTGTTGTTGGCAGAAAAGTTTGGAATTCTTGTATTGGTCTATTAACTAATTTACAGCCTGGTGATGTCACCAGAAAGGCCAAAACTCCACCCCACCAAAATAGGCTGACATTTCAGCCAGTCTTTTCAAACAGTTCTTACACTAAACAGGCATTATCTTTTATTTTCACAATTTCACAGTTTTATTCCAACCTCATAGTTTGGAAATATAAAACACAGGAAAAGTACTTTTTTTTTACTGCACTGGTCCTTTAAACAGGGAGAGACACCTCAACCTCACAACAACTCCACTGCAACATCCATCACTGGTAGGGAGAGAGACACGGACATTTAAGTTCAACAACGTTCATTTAACTTCATAGTAACGTTACTGGAATGTTGAAAGTTCGACCTAATTATGAATGTTACTGTAGGCAGAGACAAGAAGAAGAGAAGTTATACAGTGATCCCTCCCTTTCTATTTGTCCTCATCCCCCTCTCTCTCCAATCCTGGCTGACTGGATCAGCTCCAAGAGGACTGGTTATGACATCATAAACCTGAGCCAGCCAAGCACATGGTCCACAGGGGGAACAGGGTGTGTGTGTGTGTGTGTGTGTGTGTGTGTGTGTGTGTGTGTGTGTGTATATGTGTCGTGACAGGTTTCTCTACCTGAAAGATTAATCTGTATTTGAAGCCAGTTACGTTAATATTTCATACAGCAAATGGCTTTTAGCAAGAAAAACACACACACACACCATGCATGTTTTAACAGTTACATTGCATGTGAACTGAACAGGTTCAGATTGTGTGTGTGTGTGTGTGTGTGTGTGTGTGTGTGTGTGTGTGTGTGTGTGTGTGGCGCACGTGTATGGAGGGGTCATCAAAAATGGATGGCCAAAAACACCGACGATAAACATTTTTGTATTTTTTTTTACACAGAATGTTTTAGCCGCTTCTTAAAACGTTTCCTCCTATTTCCACTGGTTTTAAGGGGGAAGGGAGATAAAGGGTGAAGGGAGATTGAGGCTTGGCTGACTGACCAAGCGTTCCATATTCCAGAATTACCCCAGTAACAGAAAAGAGAAAAAATATACAACTCTATTTTGTTGAACTAAGTCAAATTAAAACACTAGTGAATACTACTACTAGGACAATACAGATTTCATTTCATTCAATAAAGATTTCGTTTCATTCAATAAAGGTTTCATTTCATTCAATAAAGGTTTCATTTCATTCAATAAAGGTTTCATTTAATTCAATAAAGGTTTCATTTCATTCACTCATTCATTCACTAATTCACTAATTCAGTTGGTCATTCATTCATTCAGTCAATAATTCATTTGTAAATTCCATTCATTCAAGGGGCAAGGTGGCCCCAGAGATTGGACCAATCAGGTTACTCACTGTCCATAGAGGGCGGGGTTGTGCCGAGCGGCGTCGTGGGAGTGGTCAGAACAGGGGTGATGGGTGTGGTCGGGATGTCAATCTCTGGGTGACTCTGTTGATTGACAGGTGACAGAGCAAATGAGTGAGGAGGGGAGAGAGAGGTAGAGGAGGCAGACGGAGAGATAGAGGGATTAGAGGGAGAGAGAACATGACTTTCAAGGAGAGCTGAGCAGATGAAACCAGAACAAAGAAAAGTCCCCCTATTTCTTCTCCTCTCCTCCTCTTTCAATCAGCGTCAGCTCATTCTATACAACACTATCAGACATCAGAGATGCCAGCGCCAGATTGAACAAAAACACTGAATTTAGAAAAAGAATGAATGCCCTCCTCCTTTATATCCCTCCCTCACCCCCTCTCTCTCTCCACCTCCCTCCCTCACCACTCTCTTCCCTCCTCATCCCCCTCCCTCCTCCATCAACCCTCCCTACCCTCAAGCCCTCTACCTACTCCCTCCACGCCTACCTCACCCTCTCTCCCTCCCCCTCCACGCATCCCCTTCTCCTCTCCATCCCCTCTCACTCACCTCCACCCCTCAATTTCACTCTTGCAAGCCCTACCCACCACTCTCTCCTACCTCCCGCCTCACCGCCCCCTAGTACCTCACCTCACGTCCCGCCTCTCTTGCTGCCGCCTCCCCTCCCCCCACACTCAGAAAATCTCCCTCTATCAGCGACTCCGCAGAACAGAGTTCCTCCTACAACTCCCCATCTCCACTCTCCCCCCTACATCGCCTCCCGCTCCCAACCCTCATCTCTCCTACCATCGCACTTACACCTCATATCTCAAGCTCTCTTCGATAATGCCTACGACTCACAGTCTGGTTCTCTCTTGTCTCCAGGCTCCTCTAGCTACTACTACTGAGCTCCTCTCTCCTCCCACTCACCGCCTCCCTACCTCACCCTCTCTCTTCGCCTCCCTCCCTCCCCCTCTCTCCGCCCCCCTCCCTCACCCCCTCCCTCCCTCCCTCCTCTCTCTCCGTGACACTTGAGTCCCTACCTCTCACAACTGAGTCCTCCCTCCGCCCCTCCCTCCCTCACCACCTCCCTCCCTCACCTTCTCTCTCCGAGAAAAGGAGGACAAGTTGAGGACGGAGGAAATCAACTTCTTTCCCTCAAAGCCACAAAAATAACATAATAGAATAATTTTGTTTCTATAAATAGTAGTTTAACTTCACCTGAGCGAGAACAGAAGAGGAAAATAAAGAAAAAGAAGAAGAAGAGGTTTTGTTTCTAGCAACATTAGTCGAAGTCACCTGAGCGAGAACAGTGATGAAGTTGCGGTTGAGGTGCACGGCCTCGTACAGCGCCAGCAGAATCGCCTCATTGGTCCTGGGGGAGGTCAGAGAGGGGTCAAAGGTCAATATCAGCCAATTAGAACGATGGTTCCAGATTGTATTTGTGACATCACACTGAATAAGGGGCCAAAGAGGCTCTGCTTGGATGAAGTTGTCCCATAGACACTGAACTACAGTCAGGTCTGTGTTTTTCACCTATTAGATCTGTGACAAAGGGCAATTTCTACTCTAAGCATGTACTTACTGTACTGAGAGCTTCTCATCCGCATCTGCAATGAACATACTGCCCACCTGTGGACAAGACAGGAATTACAATGAGAGGAAGTTGACAACGATGACGAGAAAGATTAGTTGATGAGGTGTGTTGGTGGGTCACACAGAATTAAATAGAACATATTGGGCCACTTTCCCTGACACAGATTAAGCCTAAAACCTTTTTCAATTGAGAATTTCCATTGAGCGTGCTATTTAGTCCAAGACTGAGCTTAATCTGTGTCTGGGAAAGCGGCCCAATATGTTGGATCAGATGTGTTCTTACCATACTGGTGAGAGTAGAGAAGAACCCTCCATGGTTCTCCTCCTCTTTGTCTTTGTACTGTCTGGAGAAACAGACATAAAGAGAGAAAATTAGCATCAACACTTTCAATAACCAGACCAGAATATAAAACTTCCCCCCTGGGGACATCAGCATATGAATATGAAAGTATGAACATTAAATATCGCAACACTGGCAGGCTATCATCTGTCACTTTAATGTGTTCTGTTTCTAAGCAGACAGACAGGTCTTCCTGTTTCTAAGCAGACGGACAGACAGACAGGTCTTCCTGTTTCTAAGCAGACAGACAGACACAGACAGACAGGTCTTCCTGTTTCTAAGCCGACAGACAGGTCTTCCTGTTTCTAAGCAGACAGACAGACACAGACAGACAGGTCTTCCTGTTTCTAAGCAGACAGACAGGTCAACCTGTTTCTAAGCAGACAGACAGGTCTTCCTGGTGTTGTCACCCTGAATATTAACATCAAAGCCACACATGCACGTACGCTCACACACACAGTACTAGAATGCAAGCTGTCAAGCTGAGACATACAACTACAGTAAAAAGAAGGTAGCATTTGTAGAATAAAAATAGAAAAAAATATGAAAATGTGAATTCTAAAGTAGATCATTTCACTTTTCTTTTTTTTAGTTGACAGTTAAAAGATTGTAATGTTTGTTTCCAGATCTTACCTGTTATATTCTGTCAGGGCTTGGCCAACCACCAGACCCATTCCCTATGAAAAAGACAAGAATCCTTTTGTATGAGACTTTTGATGAAAACATGATAACAGAATGGGTATACTAGTACTAGTTATTTTAATGTTAATGATAAACACTCTCTAAAGTCTAAATTAGGGTTTCTTAAACTTTTCAGCCTGGGACCCAAATTACAAATTCAGTGTTTTCCTGGGAACCAAGCTCTTGAAAACATCCAGTAAAATTTGGTTAGGAGTCCCCCCCCACCTTGCGGGCAAAACATTTTAGTGGCCCCCCTCTTGACGGTGGAGAGAAATTGTATTTCATTTCCTGCAATTCTAAAGATTTTGCCATGGGATGTTGAGAAAATGTTGCTGTTTTAAAGCAAGTATTCTGCAATTCTACACATCATGCCATGGGGGTGTAGAGTAAAATCTATTATAATATTATCACATTTTAGTCATTTAGCAGACGCTCTTATCCAGAGCGACTTACAGTTAGTGAGTGCATACATTTTTCATACATTATATACACATTTCATACAATCCTGCTCATTTTGCCATGCAGCAGAGTAAAAAACTAAAATCACAGTTTTATAGCTAACTTCCTGCAATTCTACCTATTTTGTCAAAAGGTTGTTTTTTTTCCTCTGACATGTCGCGACCACCATTAACATGACCCATACTTTAAGAAAGGCTATTGTAATTGATAGGAATACAGTGGCTTTGTGAAAGTATTCACCCCCCTTGGCATTTATTCCTATTTTGTTGCCTTACAACCTGGAATTAAAATGGATGTTTTTTTTGAGGGGGGGACGAATACTTTTGCAAGGCACTGTAAATAATAAAGCATGTAAATGAATACTCACATCTAGGGTTGGTTCATCGTCCACTATGGAGAGCTTCACAATGTAGGGATTCACAGACTAACAACAAAGAAGGAGTTAGAGAGTATCTCACAGAGAAAACAGTGCTCACTGATCCTAGTGACAGCAGAGAGAGAGAAACAGCATCAAACCGATATTGCCTGTAGTGGCACAGTCGATAGGAGACAACAGCAGAAGGAGGGAAGGAGGAAGGACTAGGCAGAGGAGAGAGGAGAAGAGAAGAGAGAGAGAAGAGAGAGAGAGGAGAGAAGAGAGAGAGAGACAGAGAGAGAGGAGGAGAGAGGGAGAGAGGGAGAGGACGGAGGATGGCGAGAGAGAAGAGAGAGGAGAGAGAGAGAGAGAGAGAGAGAGAGAGATTGGCACGGTCATCAATCTACTAGGATCACATATTAACAGCTAAATAACCTAACATTACTTACATCACTAGTCTTCACTAACACTCTTACCTGAAGAATGGCCTCAAAGATGCTGTTGATCATGACATACTCTAGGATGGTGTTCTGACTGATGTTGTCTGTTACCTGCAACACAAAAAAACGATTTAGTGAGAGAGAGCGTGTGAGTGAGTGAATGAGTGTGTGTGTGTGGTGTGAGTGAGTATGTGTGGGTGTGTATATCCTACCGTCACTAAACACAGCAGTAGTTTGAGACACAGGGCCTTGAGACTTTCTGAACCCTCCCCACACAGCAGGCTGTCTAAACTCTCCATCAGGTCCTGTGGGAGACACACAGGTCATGTTCAGTAGGGTCAGACAGGGAAAATAAGCTTTCAAAACGGAGGAAGTGTTGCTACATGAACACAAAGCTCTCCAATCTTCTCTCTTAGGACACACACACACAGCAAGCTTTCCAAACTCTTCATGAAATCCTATAGGACACACACCTTCATGCGGAGCTCAGCCTTGTCGAAGCCCATGAGCATGTTGATGATGTCGAAGCCCGAGGCTGACTTGTTCTTCTGGTGAACCCCACGGAACAAGGCACACAGAGTCTGGAGGAGGACAGATACACCTTTATGACAATGTGGGTTAAAGGTCAAACACTACAGGTTTCAAGTTCTACGTCCAGACCATAGATTATAATAGGAGGCCTCTAGTGGCCAAAAGGCCGTTTCAGCATGGGCAACGCCATTGAGGGCTTCCACCATTTTAAAGTAACTGTCACAGACGCTATAGTCACACAGATCCAAAGATGAAACCTCTATCTATCTCTATGGTCCACACCCATACATCCTGTCTATAGCCACGTCAGTACCATAGCCGTTCCATGTCCGGACCCATACATCCTGTCTATAGCCACGTCAGTACCATAGCCGTTCCATGTCCGGACCCATACATCCTGTCTATAGCCACGTCAGTACCATAGCCGTTCCATGTCCGGACCCATACATCCTGTCTATAGCCACGTCAGTACCATAGCAGTTCTATGTCTCTAGAGCTGTGTTCTTCAACCCTGGTCATGGAGGAACCACAGGATGTGCAAGGTTTTGTTCCATCTTAATCCACACACCTGATGCGATTTACACTGAGTGTACAAAACATGAGGAACACCTGCATAGACTGACCAGGTGAATCCAGGTGAAAGCTGTGATCCCTTGTTGATGTCACTTGTTAAATCCACTTCAATCAGTGTAGATGAAGGGGAGGAGACAGGTCAAAGAAGGATGTTTAAGCCTTGGGACAATTGAGACATGGATTGTGTATGTGTGCCATTCAGAGGGTGAATGGACAAGACAAAAGATTGAAGTGCCTTCGAACGGGGTATAATAGTAGTAGGTGCCAAGCGCAGCGGTTTGTCTCAAGAACTGCAACGCTGCTGGATTTTTCCACGCTCAACAGTTTCCCGTGTGTATCAAGAATGGTCCACCACCCAAAGGACATCCAGCCAACTTGACACAACTGTGGGAAGTATTGGAGTCAACATGGGCCAGCATCCCTGTGGAATGCTTTCGACACCTTGTAGAGTCCATTCCCTGACACCTTGTAGAGTCCATTCCCTGACACCTTGTAGAGTCCATGCCCTGACACCTTGTAGAGTCCATGCCCTGACACCTTGTAGAGTCCATGCCCTGACACCTTGTAGAGTCCATGCCCTGACACCTTGTAGAGTCCATGCCCTGACACCTTGTAGAGTCCATGCCCTGACACCTTGTAGAGTCCATGCCCTGACACCTTGTAGAGTCCATGCCCTGACACCTTGTAGAGTCCATGCCCTGACACCTTGTAGAGTCCATGCCCTGACACCTTGTAGAGTCCATGCCCTGACACCTTGTAGAGTCCATGCCCTGACACCTTGTAGAGTCCATGCCCTGACACCTTTGATCTGGTGCTCCTCTGCCAGGGTCTGAACACACAAACACACACACACCTGTAGGGCGTTGACCACTTTGATCTGGTGCTCCTCTGCCAGGGCCTGAACACAGTGGTGGAACAGACTGTTGATGTTGTCTTTAATCTTCATCACCTCATCTCCATCCAGAGACTCTAGCTTGGCCTCCAGGTACTCCAGATTCACCTGGGGGGGGGGGTAGAGGAAGGGTGGGTGGAAGACGGAGGATTTGGAGAGAGCGAGGGAGGTAGGAAGAGGGCAGGGTTGGAAAGACGGTGGGATGAAGAGGGAAGGGGTTGGTTGGTCTCTCTTAGGGTGGATGGCAAAGGGAGGGTTTGGAGAGCGTTGGGGGAGAAGAGGGAGGGTTGGGAGAGAGAGAAGAGAGAGGGGTAGGACGGGACGGTTGAGACGAGAGGGAGGAAGCGGTAGGCGTATGGAGAGAGGGGGGAGTGTCCAGAGAGAGGGAGGGTGGGGAATGGGAGAGAGGAGTGAAAGAGGAGCGGGGTGCGTTGAGGTTATGGTTAGAGAGCATTTCCCTTTTTGGAAGGCAAATGACAGCCAAAAGCTTTGTAAACAAATGTAAACACTTCATTTTATAAACAAATGTAAACAACTGTCTCTTTCTTACCTTCATGAGGAAGAGTTCATCCCAGAAGCGAGAGTTGTTCTTGGCTGGATCGTCTTTCTGAAGAGGGAGGAGAGGAGACATGAGAGTCGTTCCATGTCATTTCAGCAAGCCATGACACCCACCATCTCAGACTGTTCCGAAATGGTTTCAAGCCAGTCCTCCATGAAAGCAAATCAATTTCTCCTTCTTTTACGCTTAATCTTTGTCCAGGAAACAGCCCCTTTGTGTTTGGTTTATTCCCTTCAAAAAAGGTCTGGATTAATTATTGTTAGACCATTCCCTGGTCAACAAGCAAACCATTAGGCTACAGTAGTTATAATGGTTTCAATGTTATGTTCTCTAATGGTCTTCAATGGTAAAAGTCCCAAGCACACACTGTATAATGTTGTGCAATTGTAATGATATTGGGTTGGGTTTAATGGTAAATGTCACTGATCACCATACAAATCAAATCAAATCCAATCATATTTGTCACATACACGTGTTTAGCAGATGTTATAGCGGGTGTAGCGAAATGCTTGTGCTTCTAGCTCCGACAGTGAAGTAATATCTAACAAGTAATATCTAACAATTTCACAACATATACCCAATACACACAAATCTAAGTAAGGAATGGAATTTAAGAATATATACATATATGGACAAGCAATGACAGAGCGGAATGAACTAATGAGATGAGTAGTGCAAGATATGTAAACATTATTAAAGTGACTAGTGTTCCATTTCTTAAAGTGGCCAGTGATTTCAATAGGCAGCAGCTACATATACGATACATGAGATGAGTAGTGCAAGATATGTAAACATTATTCAAGTGACTAGTGTTCCATTTCTTAAAGTGGCCAGTGATTTCAATAGGCAGCAGCTGCCTATTGATACATATAGAGATGTTTCCAGATCATTTTATAGAAAAAACATGCAATTAATTATTTTATTTGGGTTGTCACAACATTTCAGTCCCTAGCCCATTTCTCCATCAAAGTTTTGGGCTTGTAGGAAAAGTCTTCATATGAGAATCTCAGAGAGCGGCCACTTGTTGGACTATTCAAGGAGAGTTGGGTTGAAGCAATAGGTTGTTATTAGGACAAACTGAATTGCTTTCATGGAGGACTGGCTTGAATTGTGAGCGTGACCACAAATCTATTGCCATAATGAGCCAAATCTATTGGTTTTCTACACAAAGTTGCAAAAAAAAACACAAGAGACCAGCAAATTGGATAATAGAGTGTTGCGGTATAGCAGGAACAGCGGCATCTAGTGGTCAAAACCTGGTACTTTCACACTACTTTATGGTAAATAATGCAAGCGACTTCAATTACTAATTTCTCTGAACAGGGGAAAAAAACATCACCAGATTCACAGGGAATACATAGTATGGAGAAGCCACAGCTTCATACTATTTGTCAAACATAGAGAACTGATACTGTATACTGGTTGTTGGGGTGAGATTGGCATGGAGGGTCCGTGGGTGGCATTTGACCATTTGGGGAGGGGGGATTCATTATGTCTTACTCATTGGTAGGAAGAAGTTTGGTCCAAATCGGATGTTGGGTCCTATATTTATTGAATATTATCTGAATCCTATCAATCAAAATGGCCAATTTGGGTGCAATTAATTAGCTTAATTTCTCTCTTCTTCTCTCCTCTCTTCTTATCTTCATCCATCATTCCCTCTTCTCTCTCCCTCCCTCCCTCCCACCCTCCCTCTCTTCTTATCTTTATCCATCATTCCCTCTTCCTCTCTATCCATCCCTCCATCTTACCGCAAAGATCTCATCATACATCAGCACCACTTTCTCCTTCAGGGGTTTCTTAGAGGAGGACGTCCTTCTCAGAAGCCCCGCCTTCTTCTCCACCTGAGACATGGCTGGGTCCGGACACACACACAAATAAGTAAGCATAGAAATATAAGCACAGTAGATCCAAATAGGCATGTAGCTAGTCTTCACACAGAATAAAACAAAAAGGACAGTCAATACATACACACCAGTTTTAGGCATTCGACACTGGCTTGGACCCGCATTCAACAGTGTTAGTGTGTAGAAGGTGCTTCTGTTGTCAAGAATGTATGGCATTTAGAACCCTCACTTCTGGTCGACTTTTAAAACAGGGTTAGATAACTGTCACTTATTACCCATTTATATACAGTATATGATTAGTCATCAATGTATGGTTGCAAAATAAATAATTATTCCCAGCTATTGCAATAGCAATCAACAAAAGTTAACTAGGCCTAAAACAAGTAACCTAAACTGTCAACAAAGCATTCTTAGCTACATGTGTTCACTCAGTCATTCACATGAAGTGATTTTATAACGCTAGCTACTATAATAGGCTACTATAATAGAAACAATGAATGTAACACAAGCTAACTAGTTAATCGTGATTCATGTCCTTCTCTGACTGTAACCTGATTGTTCTCTATGCGCAACAGGATACTACAACTTGGGCCTGCCCTGACTGTATATGCATTGATTGGACTACTGCTGTACTGTAGTGTGGAATGTTAGCTAGCTGTCTACATTTCCAAAGGAATACATAGCTAGCTAGTTTAGCATGATATCTGTCAGTTTCATGCAATATATCCCCATAAAGCATATGATGGGTAAGAACAGTTCACTGCATGTAATAGTCAATCCATAGGTAATTGTTTACACATGACTAATAGTGGTTAGCCGAGTTGGTAGCTAGCTACAGCTGATGCTAACTAGCTACCTGTCTTTAGCTAACTAGGTAGCCAACCTACGTTGTTGTCAGTCACAGAAAAGTTCATATTCAAAGGTTAAACAACTCTTTATTTAGTACTAGGCAACTCAGTTCCTAAAGTGCAACTCAAACATCGGCCGCTCTAGTGCTGGCAAATGTTAGCGTTGTTGACAACAGCAAGCTGCTACCTACTCGTAATGCATAGCGAAATTGTGGCTATCTAGCTAGCTAGCTCTTTTCTTCCAATGTGTGCTTCCTTGTCGATGTACAACTTAACATCGTTTGAGAACAGCTAGTAAGATGTATATGTTGTCATAAATTATTCATCAAATCCCTTCTTACCTCAATCAAACGATTATTTATATGAATCCATACCGTTCACTCAGAAAACTACAGATACCAATGTTAGCTTGCTAGCTAGCTAGCTGTGAGTGAGACTTCCCTTGCCTGTCTGGAGACTGCGTGGTCATAGCGCCTGTGTGGTCACTGATCGTACTGTATCGAAGATACTGTAGCTATCACTGATTTACAATCTACTCAATCTTCTGCATACAGTAGTACATTCAATTCACTACTAGGAGGACAAGAAGATAAATATATTGGAAATAAGTGTACTTTAATGCTTCCATGTGTCATCCTCTGGGATTCTTTGTACTTTTTCATATATCTTTCCAAAAGCTTTAATTTGTCCAAATTGTCCATTACTGGTGCTCATGAAGGGTTATAAACGGTGTTTGTTGAACTTCTCTAATGTCTAAACGCCTGATAGGTTCAGTCTAGAAAATGTAAAGGTCTTTGCACCCTTCACATAACTTTGTTTGGCTCATTCGCTGAGATTGAAAGTAAATGTCATCAGATAATAATAAGACATGTAATCTTTTCTCTGCCAACACTGTGAGCGATCGAGGCATTGTCTCGAAATGTCACAGACGGACTCCGGAATCTTTTGGAGATGAGTTAACAGAATACAAAGGTCCACACACTGTGCGTCCCAAATGGCACCCTATTCCCTACATAGTCCACGAGGGCCCTGGTCAAAAGTAGTGCACTATATAGGGAATAGGGTGCCATTTGGGACGTGACCTGTAACCCTTCTATCCTTCCTATCTTTTCCCCTCAAAAATGTAAGACAATAAAAATCTAAATGGCACCGTCAAGAAACGTTTTATGTTGTATTTCAGAACTTGTATTTCATTGATCCTCTGGTTCTTTTCTCAATGCATAATGTGCTCCTTTTGATATACTGATATATGAAGATGTGTGTGTTTGGGGGGGTGGGGGGGATGGGGGGGTCGTCGTTATCAACGTACTAGTAGCCTATAAGTCCAGTCAGTCCATACATCAAAAGAATCAGAAGAAGTCGAAAAATGTGAAAAGGTTGTCGGAGGCAGAGGGTTGCGGAGACTGGGCGGAGGAAGAGGGAGGTTGGGATGATGGGGAGCCCTGTATTGGGCGGAGGGCTGAGGGGCTCAGACTGTGGGCAGGGGGCTAGAGGGGGGCGTCATGGACACCAAGGTAGACGGATTCCCCTGCTGAGGAACAGTCGGAGGGGCATAACTTGACGAACAACCCTGCAATGACGACGAGGGCTAGTTTCCTGTCCCGGACGAGGCAGCCATCCGCATCGCCCTAGGAATATTAGCCACTACGGACAATGACAGAATTCTATGGACGAAGCTGGCCCGTCTTTGGCCCATAGCCTCAGCTGATGCCAGATGATGAGATCTAGTCGTTTCCATGGTATCTGGTGTCGGTGGTGCTCTAAAGGTAGAAAACATACAGTGAGTGAAAAAAGTATTTGATCCCCTGCTGATTTTGTACGTTTGCCCACTGACAAAGACATGATCAGTCTATAATTTTAATGGTAGGTTTATTTGAACAGTGAGAGACAGAATAACAACAACAAAATCCAGAAAAACGCATGTCAAAAATGTTATAAATTGATTTGCATTTTAATGAGGGAAATAAGTATTTGACCCCCTCTCAATCAGAAGGATTTCTGGCTCCCAGGTGTCTTTTATACAGGTAACGAGCTGAGATTAGGAGCACACTCTTAAAGGGAGTGCTCCTAATCTCAGCTTGTTACCTGTATAAAAGACACCTGTCCACAGAAGCAATCAATCAATCAGATTCCAAACTCTCCACCATGGCCAAGACCAAAGAGCTCTCCAAGGATGTCAGGGACAAGATTGTAGACCTACACAAGGCTGGAATGGGCTACAAGACCATCGCCAAGCAGGTTGGTGTGAAGGTGACAACAGTTGGTGCGATTATTCGCAAATGGAAGAAACACAAAATAACTGTCAATCTCCCTCGGCCTGGGGCTCCATGCAAGATCTCAACTCGTGGAGTTGCAATGATCATGAGAACGGTGAGGAATCAGCCCAGAACTACACAGGAGGATCTTGTCAATGATCTCAAGGCAGCTGGGACCATAGTCACCAAGAAAACAATTGGTAACACACTACGCCGTGAAGGACTGAAATCCTGCAGCGCCCGCAAGGTCCCCCTGCTCAAAAAAGCACATATACAGGGCCGTCTGAAGTTTGCCAATGAACATCTGAATGATTCAGAGGAGAACTGGGTGAAAGTGTTGTGGTCAGATGAGACCAAAATCGAGCTCTTTGGCATCAACTCATCTTGTCGTGTTTGGAGGAGGAGGAATGCTGCCTATGACCCCAAGAACACCATCCCCACCGTCAAACATGGAGGTGGAAACATTATGCTTTGGGGGTGTTTTTCTGCTAAGGGGACAGGACAACTTCACCGCATCAAAGGGACGATGGACGGGGCCATGTACCATCAAATCTTGGGTGAGAACCTCCTTCCCTCAGCCAGGGCATTGAAAATGGGTCGTGGATGGGTATTCCAGCATGACAATGACCCAAAACACACGGCCAAGGCAACAAAGGAGTGGCTCAAGAAGAAGCACATTAAGGTCCTGGAGTGGCCTAGCCAGTCTCCAGACCTTAATCCCATAGAAAATCTGTGGAGGGAGCTGAAGGTTCGAGTTGCCAAACGTCAGGCTCGAAACCTTAATGACTTGGAGAAGATCTGCAAAGAGGAGTGGGACAAAATCCTTCCTGAGATGTGTGCAAACCTGGTGGCCAACTACAAGAAACGTCTGACCTCTGTGATTGCCAACAAGGGTTTTGCCACCAAGTACTAAGTCATGTTTTGCAGAGGGGTAAAATACTTATTTCCCTCATTAAAATGCAAATCAATTTATAACATTTTTGACATGCGTTTTTCTGGATTTTGTTGTTGTTATTCTGTCTCTCACTGTTCAAATAAACCTACCATTAAAATTATAGACTGAACATGTCTTTGTCAGTGGGCAAACGTACAAAATCAGCAGGGGATCAAATACTTTTTTCCCTCACTGTAGGTTGCTGCGGAGACGGTGATGGGGACTCCGGGATGTCTGTAGTCGAGAATGCCAGGTATCTGTTAGAGTTAGAAACATGTATTTAAGTGTCTCTCCACAATATTACAACAACTGGCAATGCATATTACAGACTTAAAAACCACATTGTGGACCACAATGGGGGAGGGAGTGGGGGAGGGAGGGAGGGGGAGGGAGGGAGAGAGAGGGGGAAAGAGAGGGAGAGAGGGGGGGATAACAGGGAGAGAGAAAGAGAGGATGAGAAAAGGAAAGAATCACACTGATAAATATTGCCATTTCAAACACACAGGAATATAAACACACACACACACACACATACACAATATACGCACAGACAACATAAACATAGTATACACATAGACCATATAGCACACACACACTCTCCACTCACACACACACACACAGTTGGGCCAAAACACTCCATACTGAACAGTGATTGACTAACAGGTTTTTTATCCCCTCTGAATAAATTGTGTGTGGTGGTGAAGGGCAAAGTTACGTAGTGATTATCTGGAAAACGTTCACATTTTAAAGGAAAGAAATGAATAGGTGTGTATGTTGCTTCCGTACCTATTTGACAGTCAGAATGTGTTGGCGATGACCATGTGAGCTGTATCCTGATCAGAGACAACAGAGGGATCTGGATTAAGATGTTTTTGTTCTGAAAATTAGCTGGCTATAAGAACTCACACACGCACACACTCACACACACAGAGACACACACTCACACACACACAGAGAGAGACACACACAGAGAGACACACACACAGAGACACATACAGAGACACACACGCACACACAGAGACACACACACACAGACACACACGCACACACAGAGAGACACACGCACACACAGAGACACACACTCACACACACACAGAGAGAGACACACACAGAGAGACACACACACAGAGACACATACAGAGACACACACGCACACACAGAGACACACACACACAGACACACACGCACACACAGAGACACACACACAGAGACACACACTCACACACATACAGAGACACACACGCACACACAGAGACACACACACACAGACACAGAGAGACACACACACACACGCACACGCACACACAGAGAGACACACATATACAGACACATACAGAGACACCCGCACACACAGAGACACAGACACACACACACAGAGACTCACATGCACATACAGAGACACCCGCACACACAGAGACACAGACACACACACACACACACACACAATACACGACTGAAAGACATGGAACTTACCTCCATCTTCAGTTTCTTCAAGATACACAATTATAAAAAATTTAAAATAAATTGGTCATTTAGCAGACGCTCTTATCCAGAGCGACTTACAGGAGCAATTAGGGTTAAGTGCCTTGCTCAAGGGCACATCGACAGATTTTTCACCTAGTCTGCTTGGGGATTAGAACCAGCGACCTTTCGGTTACTGGTACAACGCTCTTAACCACTAAGCTACCTGCCGCCCTTGAGAGTTAAACAAAGAGGACAAAGAAATCAAGTCATGTTTGATCAGATTACTCTATGTACTATAGACCCTGAATCACTGAATTTGGGTCCGTTTTGCATTTCTCCCCTATGGTGGTTACAGGGGCAATCTGCAGTTAATGATATGTACCCATTGATTCTTCAAGAATATAACTTATAAATGAGCTTAGTTCTACTGTCGTACCCCATCAGAACCCAAAATATACATTTTTTTTACTCCAATGTTTGTAAACAAGATAAATGTAAATAAACACTGTACAGCCTCAAAACATGGTTAAAACTATTATTTTGATATCATGGATGGTCAGTCCTTGCATCCATACCTCTGTCTATGAAATTGAGAGTCCTTACATTTCTCCTGCCCCATCCCTCAGCTTTCTACCGAAACAGTGGAGGGGATTCGCTTTGTTATTGTTTCAACTGAGGATTTCCCATTTAAGGTTCGGATTTAGGAAGAGGTAGCTGATCCTAGATCTGTGGTTAAGGACAACTTATACCTAGCAATTTAGAGCAGGTTGCCAGTACGGGCTAGGGTTAGGGTTAGAGACTGGGGTTAGGGGTCAGCGTTCATAAACAGAGGGGTCAATGATGAAGTCGGAGGTCAGTGCCGGTATTCATAAAGCATCTCAGAGTAGGAGTGTTGATCTGGGATCAGTTTTGCCTATTAGATCAACATTTACACTACCGGTCAAAAGTTCTAGAACACATACTGATTCAAGGGTTTTTCTTTATTTTTACTATTTTCTACATTGTAGAATAATAGTGAAGACATCAAAGCTATTAAATAACACATATGGAATCATGTAGTAACCAAAAAAGTGTTAAACAATCTATTTTATATTTGAGATTTTTCATAGCCACCCTTTGCCTTGATGACAGCTTTGCACACACTTGGCATTCTCTCAACCAGCTTCACCTGAAATGCTTTTCCAACAGTCTTGAAGGAGTTCCCACATATGCTGAGCACTTGTTGGCTGCTTTTCCTTCACTGTGCTGTCCGACTCATCCCAAACCATCTCAACCCCCCACTTTACGTTGAAGCTTCTTAACAAACTCATTTGTATGCTTCTCAAATGGTAGATCATATATACCAAGGTATTTGTATGCAGGGACTTGTTCAATTAAATAATAATTCAAGGAGTGAAGATGTAGCCCAACTGAGATACTTTTACGAGACTGTCACGCCCTGATCGAGAGAACTCTTGTTGGTTGGGTCAGGGTGTGAGTTTTCTGTTGAGATCTATGTTAGTGTATTTCTATGTTGTAGATCTAGGTTGATCTTTCTATGTTTGGCCGGGTGTGATTCCCAATCAGAGGCAGCTGTCGCTCGTTGTCTCTGATTGGGGATCATACTTAAGTAGCCTGGTTGCCTACCTTAGTTGTGGGATCTTGTTTGTGTTCCGGTTAGGCTTGTTGTGAGTATAGCCCATAGGACTTCACGTTACGTTGCTTTTGTTGTTTTGTCAAGTGTTTATCTTCGTTAATAAACATGTACGCATACCACGCTGCACCTTGGTCTGACACGGGGTGGACGACGAGGCAGCAGGAGGCCGTGAAAGGGCTGACTATAGAGGAGGAGGCCGCTATTTTAGAGGTCCTCCAAGACCTGCGGATCGAGAGTTTAAGAGAGGAGGCCACCACATTACGGGGGCTGATAGGGAGAATAGAGCAGGAGAGCTCCCTAAAAGAGGAGGCGCTGCAGGAGGCCCGTAGGGAGAAGGAAATAGTGGAGGCACGGAGAGAGGAGCTGGTCAGGCAACAAAAGGACGTGTGTTCATGAAAACCTAGTATCGGATACGGATGAGCTGTTCAGCCCAACAAGACTCCGTGTGCGC